CTTGCTTATGGTCCTCGACCCCCCTAGGTCTACTCTTGACGAGATAGACCAGATTATGGCTCGTTATTTCTGGGGTTACGAGGACGGTTCTGGGAGGGGGAGACGTACCCACTGGGTGAGTTGGGACTCCATCTGTCGCCCCCTCCCCGAGGGTGGACTTGGCATCCGCCGCCTCAGGGACATTGTTACAGCTTTCTCATACAAGCTGTGGTGGCGCTTCAGGGAAGGAAAGTCGCTTTGGGCTCAGTACCTTCGCGGCAAGTACTGCCCTAGACGTGCCAACCACCCTTGTTGGGTCACGGCTGTTGATCATGATAGCAGACAGTGGCGGCGCCTCACTAGGGTCGGGAGGCGAGCCCAGGATCACATCTTTTGGGTTTTGGGCGGGGGCGATGTCAGTGTCTGGGATGAGTGGTGGGTAGGTGATAGGCCGTTGTCTAGGGATAGGCAGGTGTCGCATTCCCCCTACCTGCTCGTGAGCGACCTCTGGACGGACGGGTCGTGGGATAGGGGGAAGCTTGATAGGGAGTTGGGGGCTGGTGCGGGTTTTAGCGAGCAGTTATTAGATCAGATCCAGCAGATCCCTATCTCGGGGGACGGTTCAGATAGCATGAGGTGGAGACTTACATCATCAGGTGTGTTTTCTACTACCTCGGCTTGGGAGCAGATAAGGCTGAGGGATCGGCCTAATCTCCTCTTCGGGGCTATCTGGAGTGACCTTTTTACGCCTACTATTTCGGTATTCCTTTGGCGCCTTCTCTTGCGCCGGATACCCGTCGATACTGTGCTACACGCGAGGGGGATCTCCTTCCCCTCTCGGTGTGTGTGTTGTTCTGAGACTGGACGCCATGAGACTGAGACCTTTACCCACCTTTTTCTAGAGAGTGAGATTGTGAGGAGAGTGTGGGAGCATTTTGCCACTTGGACTCATATATCCCTACCCACCACATACAGTTTTTTTGAGCTCCTGAGTTTTTTCTCACAGAGCACACACCTTAGACACGTGGGCTTCCTCATTCCTTGTCTGATCCTTTGGTTCACCTGGACAGAAAGGAATAGTGCGAAGCATAGGGATATTACTTTTATGTTTTCTCACATTGTTTTGCAGGTTGAGAGACACATTTCACTCCTCATCTCATTGGGCAGGCTCACGGCCCGAGACTGGACAGGCTGCACGCCACCGCATCGCTACATGGTGGCCCCACCACCGCCTGTTCGGCCTCCTCGGGCCAGAGCTGTTGTTTGGCTTCGACCTGACTCTCCGTGGGTCAAGCTGAACACTGATGGCTCCTTTGATCGCCACACTGGAGTTGCCGGAGGAGGAGGCTTGATTCGGGACCATAGCGGCGCCCTCATCACCGCCTTCCACGCGTCCATTCAGGCCTCCTCGAGCTACGATGCAGAGATTCAGGCACTACAGATTGGCCTTCAGATTGCTGTCCACCTCTCTAGTCATATATGGATCGAGCTGGATGCTGCGGCTGTCGCCACCCTCCTGACTTCGGGCCATCAGGGCTCGTGGCAGATTCAGCACCCGCTTATGCGCATTAGAGATCTACTTCGGTCAGTCCATCACAGGATCACGCACATTTTCCGTGAGGGGAACAGACCGGCTGATTACCTGGCCAGCCTTGGCGCCACCATACCAGGCACACATACATTCCAGACCGACACTGCTCCACTCCGCCTTCGCACTCTTGTACGGATGGACCAGCTTGGATATCCAGCGTTCCGCTTTCACTAGTTTAGGATTTCTATTTTCATTAGTATAGACATTTATCTCGGGCATCTGTTAGCCCGAAGATCGACTTTATATTGTAGTTTTTTGTTTCTTTTTCGTTTTTCGGTTTTTTCTTTCTTGTTTTTCTTTTGGTTTTGGTTTTGATTCTCAGACTATGTAGACCTTTGTATCTGGTTCGTTGACATTATTGGGCTCCCGTTTTTGGGGCCCTGATCTATGCACAGGTTGGGGATCCAGCCCAATCCCCCGCCCTTCCGGGGCGTTGTTTGTTTAAAAAAAAAAAAAAAAAAACCTAGCAACAAAAGACAACTAACCTAGCAGCAAGAAAGAAATAACCTAGCAACAAAAGACAACTAACCTAGCAGCAAGAAAGAAATAACCTAGCAACAAAAGACAACTAACCTAGCAGCAAGAAAGAAATAACCTAGCAACAAAAGACAACTAACCTAGCAGCAAGAAAGAAATAACCTAGCAACAAAAGACAACTAACCTAGCAGCAAGAAAGAAATAACCTAGCAACAAAAGACAACTAACCTAGCAGCAAGAAAGAAATAACCTAGCAACAAAAGACAACTAACCTAGCAGCAAGAAAGAAATAACCTAGCAACAAAAGACAACTAACCTAGCAGCAAGAAAGAAATAACCTAGCAACAAAAGACAACTAACCTAGCAGCAAGAAAGAAATAACCTAGCAACAAAAGACAACTAACCTAGCAGCAAGAAAGAAATAACCTAGCAACAAAAGACAACTAACCTAGCAGCAAGAAAGAAATAACCTAGCAACAAAAGACAACTAACCTAGCAGCAAGAAAGAAATAACCTAGCAACAAAAGACAACTAACCTAGCAGCAAGAAAGAAATAACCTAGCAACAAAAGACAACTAACCTAGCAGCAAGAAAGAAATAACCTAGCAACAAAAGACAACTAACCTAGCAGCAAGAAAGAAATAACCTAGCAACAAAAGACAACTAACCTAGCAGCAAGAAAGAAATAACCTAGCAACAAAAGACAACTAACCTAGCAGCAAGAAAGAAATAACCTAGCAACAAAAGACAACTAACCTAGCAGCAAGAAAGAAATAACCTAGCAACAAAAGACAACTAACCTAGCAGCAAGAAAGAAATAACCTAGCAACAAAAGACAACTAACCTAGCAGCAAGAAAGAAATAACCTAGCAACAAAAGACAACTAACCTAGCAGCAAGAAAGAAATAACCTAGCAACAAAAGACAACTAACCTAGCAGCAAGAAAGAAATAATCTAGCAACAAAAGACAACTAACCTAGCAGCATCAGACAACTAACCTAGCAGCAAGAAAGAAATAACATAGCAACAAAAGACAACTAACCTAGCAGAAAGAAAAAAAAAACCTAGCAACAAAAGAAAACTAACCTAGCAGCATCAGACAACTAACCTAGCATCAAGAATGAACTAACATAGCAACAAAAGACAACTAACCTAGCAACAAAACACAACTAACCTAGCAACAAAAGACAATTAACCTAGCAGCAAGAAAAAAATAACCTACCAACTTAAGACAAAAGGACTAACGAGCAACAAAAGACAACTAACTTAGCAGCAAGAAAGAAATAACCTAGCAACAAAAGACAACTAACCTAACAACTACAGACGACTAACCTAGCAACATCAGAAAAATAACCTAGCAACTACAGAGAACTAACCTAGCAACTACTAACCTAACAACTACAGAAAACTAACCTAACAACTACAGAGAACTAACCTAGTTAGAAGGTTAGTTGTCAACGGTCAACGGCGGAAGTCAACGGTCAACACCGGAGTCAACGGGTCAAAATAATATTTAAATAATTAAAATAATAAAAAGAACAGAGTAAATCTTGGCCACACATGATATGTACCAAATCTTGTGGCTAAAAATGAGCCTTACGTCCTCACTTTAAATAAGTGGATGCATTGGAACCATTCCCATATGTATATAAATATATATATATATATATATATATATATTAAATGTGATATAATCAAGCGAAAACAACAAATAACAAAAAATCTGAAAAAGACTTTCCTAATTTGTAATATACATTACATAATATCATGATATAATCATGCATTTAATTTTAAATAAGTGTGGGTGCAGAAATCATGGCACTATATATATTTTATTTTTTTCTGTTTTCCAATATCTTAAATAATGAAGGAATAACGTGTAAATTTGAAAATCTGAATAATATGAATTTCTTTATCAAAATCCCATTAAACCCAACAGAAGGGTCTATATGTGACATTAGCCAGCAAAGTCTTTTGGCGGAATTGATTATATGATGTCGCTTGATCATTTGGGATGACGCCCCTGATGATGAATACGTATTGCTTTCAGGGATTGACAACACCTTGCGAGCCTTAATACAAGTAGTGGATCCATCAAGGAAAAATCTCCCTTTTGGCGGCAAATTCGTTGTATTTGGTGGGGATTTTAAACATATACTTCTTGTTGTTCCTAAAGGCAGTCGAAGTGACATAGTGAATGCCACGACCAATTCATCTAAGTTGTGGAGGGATTGTACTGTTCTGAGATTGACTCGGAATATGAGGCTTTGAAGCCTTGGTGCGGGCAATGAGTACGATGAGCTGAATCATTTCTCGGAGTGGCTTGCAAGCATTGAAGACAGAACACTCGGTGTATTGAACGTCGGATGTGCCGATATCATGATTCCTGATGATATTATTCTAAAATCACGAGCGGATCCTATTGCTACCCTACTAAATGTTCAGGAGTTCAGGCGACGACCTTAGCTATCTGAAGGACAAAGTCATACTCGCTCCTACACTTGTCGTGGTTGATTTCGTTAACGAGTATATGAGCTCATTAAACTCATCTGAGATGACGACTTATTTGAGTTCGGACACCGTATAGAAGTCAGATGCTGGATATGAGTCTCCTAAAGATCTTCATACGCCTGAATTTCTAAAAGGGATTAAATGCTCGGGACTTTCGAATCATAAATTGCACTTGAAGATTAGCACTCCAGTGATGCATCTAAGGAACATTGATCTTTCAATGGGGTTGTGCAACGGTACGCGTCTGGTTATTACTAAGCTTAGCAGCCATGTCCTTGAGTGCAGAATTTTAACAGGTGCCAGAGTTGGCGATAAGGTTCTTATTCCAAGGCTCACAATCATTCTTTCGGATTTGAGGGTATCGTTCAAGTTTCAGCGCTGACAGTTTCCTATCATGGTCTCTTATGCTATGACGATCAACAAGAATCAAGGTCAGTCTCTTTCACACGTCGGCATAATCCTGAAGAACCTGTTTTCAGTCATGGACAATTGTACGTGGCTCTTTCTAGAGTCACAAATTGGAAGGTTTTTTCTTTTTTTTTTTTTGTTTTTTTTGCAAACAAACCAACAAACCAACTTCAAAAGACAATACGGTTCCTACCAGAACTAAAAAGAGAAGATAAAAACGACGGGAGACAGTCCTTCCATAAGAATGGTCCCGATGACGATAAAGCCCGTTTAGCTAAATAATGGGCAACAAAATTTTGATTCCTAGCAATATAGCTACATGACACACAATTGAGATTTAACAAAAGAGACAAAATATCCACAAAAACTTGATGCAATGGGTCGTTAGGCGAATATTCAGATAGGCCACAAATAACCACTAAAGCATCCGTCTTGGCAAACTGAATTGAAACCCCCAAATCAAAAGCAAAGTGAAGTCCAAACCTGAGGGCAAGAGCTTCTACTGCGAAAGATGAAAAGGATCCTGGAATGCGAGATACAAAAGCCGCCCAACAACTACCTTCCGAGTCGCCAATCCATCCTCCCAACCCAATCTCTGAATCACGAACTGCGGCATCACAAAATAACGTGAGTCCATTTTGACAACTCCCAGTGCCAACCCACCTATCTATTGATGGTGTAACCAAAGCCCAGTCAGACAAGAGATGTCCCGACCGCCATTTTGAGATCTCTTCTTGCCACGTCCATCCTAATGTCCAAGATTGTTCCACCGCTTTACCTTGTAGCCCGTGTTTAAGGCGGTTCCTTTCGTGCCAAATAATCCATAACAGAGAAGCAAAGTTTGGAAACTCATCCCCTCGATCACATCCCAGTAGGTCACAAAAATTTGAAGAAAAGCACGTACCTCGTAATGGAGCAAGAAAATGCCACTAACCTGAAACTTTCCACAACTGCTTAACCCAAGCGCGATCAAAGAAAATATGAGCGTTAGATTCCCAACCCGAACATCTGGGACACCTTGCATCCACCTAGATATGTCTCCTAGCAAGATTTTCCGCGGAGGGAATTGCCGAGTTACTAACCCTCCAGAGGAACATTTTAAACTTTGGTAAAATCTTCAATTTCCGCAAAACATCCCACCACTCGGATTTTGAAGAAGAAGATGATTCCATGGACTTCGATGATCTATGTTTAAGCAAACGGTAACCACTCTTCACTGTGTAAACACCGTTTTTGGAGTAGTGCCAAATAATTCGGTCAGGATTAGAAGTCGAACGAAGAGGGATTGAGAAAATTTTAAGAGAGACGATTGGCAAGAAAATACGGTTGATCAACTCACGATTCTAGTTTCCGTTCCTCTCAATCAGCTCGCTAACTCGATCAATGCCCATCGTCAATTGAGAGAATGGCCTGAAGCCCTGGAAATGGGGAATCTAAGGATCCGAGAAAACTCTGATAGACTTACTGTCTCCTACTCTCCATTGCATACCCGATTGAATAACTTCCCGACCCTACACGATACTTCTCCAGATAAAGGAAGAGCCCGGCTAAACTACCCCATCAAGAAACTGGCCCGATGAGAAGTACTTCTCTTTGAGAACTCTGGCCACAAGGAACTCTGGTGATGTTAGAACTCGCCAGGCTTGTTTTCCCAATAATGCTTGAATAAAAATTCAGAAGTCCCTGAACCCCAATCCACCTTGTTGTTTTAACAACGTTAACCTGCTCCACTTGACCCATGGCAGTTTCCTTTCACCATCCCGTGATCCCCCCCAAAATTGGGCAACTATTGTCTTCAATTGATCATAAACCGATTTTGGGATCCGAAATAAACTCATAATATAGGTAGGAATCGATTGCACCACCACTTTGATTAGAATTTCCCGTCCTCCCAAAGAAAACAGATTACGTTTCCAAGTGTGGAGCCGCTTCTAAATTTTCTCTCTAATAGTCGCAAACGTACGCTGCTTTTGTCGACCAATCAAAGAGGGGAGACCCAAATAGGAATTGTGAGAGGATGGATTTTGAATTCACAACATCGAGCATAAGGTCAAACGTGCGTTCGACGGCGTATTAGGAGTAAAGGAGATGGCTGTTTTTTCCAAATTTACCTTCTAACCTGAAGCCGCTTTGTAGAGTCTCAAAATGTGAACAATAGTCGTAGTCTCAACCGGATTAGTCTTTTAAAAGATGATAGAGTCATCCACAATTTGGAAGGGTTTGAAGATAATGATATGTGATGATGGTGATTTCGACGATAGGAAAACCATGAATGTTGTATACAAAAAAGTGTTTAATAATATTTACAATCATTTTTTTAATTCATATTTTTTTCATGAATTAAATTATGATTATGTATTTTTGTTTTTTCTTTTATATTGTTTTTTAATTATTCTCTTCGGTGACCTTCTATAGTGGACGACATCCAAGTCAGATCGACTTTATCCTTGCAAGGAGGGAGGATAGACGCGTTTGCATAGATTGCAAGGTGATACCTGGGGAGTGTGTTGTCCCCCAACATAAGCTGGTGGTGTCGGATTTTCGATTACGAATACGTGTCCACCGGGACAAACGTGCCAAGACCGTGAGAACAAAGTGGTGGAAGCTTAAAGGGGAAGCGGCACAGACGTTTAGGGATATGATACTAGGCGAGAGGCCTTGGGAAGAAGGAGTAGATGCAGATGACATGTGGCTAAAGATGGCAACATGTGTACGGAAGGTGGCTGCAGAAGTACTTGGTGTGAGTAGGAGAGGCAAGCATGAAGAGAAGGACACTTGGTAGTGGAATGACGAGGTGCAAAGGGCTATTCAGGAGAAGAATGAGTGTTTCAAGCATCTCCACCTTGACAAGAGTGCAACTAACATTGAGAGCTATAAAATAGCGAGAAGGGCTGCAAAGCGTGCCGTGAATGTAGCAAAGGGTCAGGCCTATGATGACCTTTACCAGCGCCTAGGCACGAAGGAGGGGGAGAAGGACATTTATAGGATGGCTAGGATTCGGGAGAGGAAGACAAGGGACATCAACCAAATCAAATGCATCAAGGATGGGTTGGACCGGCCACTGGTGAAGGATGGGGAGATCAAGGACAGATGGTGAGAGTACTTCGACAAATTGTTTAATGGGGAGAATGAGGGTCCTACTCTGGAGTTGGATTACTCATTTGAGGATATCAATAGATGCTTGGTGAGAAGAATTCGGGAGGCAGAGATCGGAGAGGCTATGAAGAGGATGAAGGGTGGTAAAGCAATGGACCCTGATGGTATCTCCATTGAGGTGTGGAGATGCTTGGGCGCCAGAGCATTAGTATGGCTAACTAAGCTTTTTAACCTCATTTTCTGGTCAAACAAGATGCCTGATGAATGGAGGAGAAGTATTTAGTACCGATCTTCAATAATAAGGGAGATCTTCAAAGTTGTGGTAACTACCGTGGGATTAAGTTGATGAGCCATACGATGAAGCTCTGGGAGAGGGTTATCGAGCATCGCCTACAACGAGTGACGAGTGTGACCCAAAACCAATTTGGGTTTATGCCTGGAAGGTCGACCATGGAGGAGATTTTTCTAATACAACAGTTGACGGAGAGATATATGGACCAAAAGAAGGACTTGCATATGGTCTTTATCGACCTTGAGAAGTCTTATGACAGAGTACCGAATAATGTCATGTGGTGAATCTTAGAAAAGCACAAAGTCCCATCTAAGTACATTACCCTCATCAAGGATATGTACAACGATGCGATGACGTGTGTCCGAACATGTGGGGGCGATACCAACGACTTCCCAATTAAAATAGTACTACACCAGGGGTCAACCCTTATTTATTTGACTTGGTGATGGATGAGGCCACAAGGGACATACAAGGTGATATCCCTTGGTGTATGCTCTTTGTTGATGATGTGGTGCTAGTTGAAGAGAGTAAGGCAGGGGTAAATAGGATGTTAGAGCTGTGGAAGGACACGTTAGAGTCGAAAGGCTTCAGACTTAGTAGGACGAAGACCGAGTACATGATGTGTGCTTTCAGCATGGTTACACATGATGATGGTGACGTTAGCCTTGACGGGCAAGTGGTGGCCAAGAAGAAGACTATTCGGTGTTTAGGATCGATGCTACAAAAGGATGGCGGCATTGATGTTGATGTTAGGCATAGAATTGCAGCCGGTTGGTTGAAATAGCGTCAAGCTTCGGGCGTTCTCTGTGATAAGAGGGTGCCACAAAGGCTAAAAGGTAAGTTCTATAGGACGGTGATTCGCCCGGCGATGCTATACGGTGCTGAATGTTGGCCTACAAAAAGGCAAGATGTCCAACAACTAAGTGTAGCAGAGATGCGTATGTTGCGTTGGTTCTGCGGGCACACAAGAAGGGATAGAATCGGGAATGAGGATATTCGAGATAGGGTCGGGGTGGCTCCAATTGAGGAGAAATTGGTTCAACATAGGCTGAGGTGGTTCGGACATGTCCAACGGAGGCCTCCTGATGCACCGGTGCGTAGGGGAGTTCTACAGCGGGTCGATGATGTAGCAGTGGATAGGAGCGCTTGGAGGCTAGCAATCAACGTGCCAGAACTGTGACTTTTGCTCCTTTCTCTTTTGCTCCAATCTCTTCCTTTTGTTTTGAGCCCTTTTTGTGTTTCTCTTACCATTGGTTCTCTTGGGTTTCATCTCTAGCCTACCCCAACTTGCTTGGGACTAAAAGGCTGTGTTGTTGTTGTTGTTGTTTTAATTATTCTCCTCCGTGCAAATGCACGGGTTGATTACTAATATTTAGATAGTACACAATGCACATTTTAGTTATAAATAATGCATAATTAATTGAGAATAAAAATTACATATTTAGTTCATTCATTGTGCATATTTAAGTTAAAACAAAAGCATATTTAGTTCATCATAGTGCATATTTAGCTCATGTGAGGTCCAATCATAGCCATTTATTTGTGTACATCAATGGATCATATTGCTCGATTGAAATTTACATTAATTATATAATAAAAATATTAATTATTATATATAATGCACATTTAATTGCATATTTAGTTCGTGCAAAATGCGCATTTAGTTCATACGGAGTACATATTTAGTTCATAAATGTGCGTACTTAATTGATGTTATTATTGCATATTTATTATGTAATTAATTTGATATAATATTTTTTTTATCATATAAATAATGTAACACATAATGCATATTTAGTTTATTCAATATACATAGTTAGGTAATAAGAAATGAATATTTAGTTCATCATAGTGCATATTCATTATATTTAAGTTAAATATATATATCGTGCATATTTAGTTCATTTATTATACATATTTAGGAAATTAGAAATGCATATTTAGTTTATCATAGTGTATATTTATTATATTTAAATTAATTATATACATTGTGCATATTTAATTCATTTATTATGTATATTTAGTTCATGCAAAATGCATATTAATATCATCAAAGTGCATATTTGGTTAATGTGAGGTCCAATCATAGCTTTTTATTTGTGTAGATCAATTATTCATTTTTTTTTTCCAAACGACATCATTTCTCATAACCAAAATAAATGGAATGTACATGGCGACTCCCCAAATCCGCACCACCTGAGAGGCAAAGTACCATCTGTACTGCCTAACCGAGACCATAATACAAATTCACAGCAACTATCATCATAATATACACATGACCCGGCCACAAAGACATACATCACAACAAGCATAAATAAGATACAAGCTAGAAAAGAGGTAAACCACTTACACTAGACCTAGTCTACTCTCTGCAGCTTTTGTTAAGGCTTCATGCTGCTATTTTTGAACTCCAACCACTCATGCACTGCTGTCTTTATGATCCAAGGTTCATGGTGCCATTTGTTCTCAAAGACCCACAGATTCCGAGCTCGCCACAGCCACTATAGGATATATGTGGACAGTTGTATCCTATCTTCACAGCTTTCCTGCTTCTTCATTGACCCACAGATTCCGGGGCCATCTTCCAAGTGTTTTGGGACAGTAGAAGAGGACATGTTCTTGAGTTTCATCTGCTTCCCCACCCTTTGCACTTCAAGTCCAGCTGCATACCCCTCCTGCAAAGGTTAACATTGACAGGCAAGATGTTTGAAAAGGACCTCCATATGAAGTGTTTCACTTTCCCAAACACTTTCATGTTCCAACATCTCAATCTGGCTCTGTTGTTTCCCTCTTCCATCCTGTTGCACCCAGTTTCTGCTCTCAGACAAATTTTTTCATCCATCAAGACAGAATAAGCTATCTTCACTGAGAAAGAACCCTTCTTCAGAAATGAGCACCTCCATTTATCTGCAAGATGGGATTTAGAGATTTGATTTTTAAAAATTTTTCAGTTGTATCTTCATCAAAGATAGCTCTGACCAGCACTTCAACCCATGCACAACCTCCAGCCAGCAGGAGATCTTTGACACAAAATAGATGCCCTTCAAGTTGTGTTCTCATATGTGGTTTTCCTCCCTGCACCACTGGGATCCAGTTCACATCATTCAGCTTCAGGCTTATCCCATTCCTAACAACAACACTCATATGATTTTGCAGCACAGGAATGAAGGCAGCCCAAGAATTCCAGAGCCAAGATGCTCCATTTGATTTTCGATATTCAAAAAGAGAATGAGAGGAGAAGTATTTGCTTTTCAACACCTTGCTGACCAGAAGGTCCGGTTGCTCAATCACTCTCCATAGTTGTTTAAGAATAAGAGCTTTGTTAAAGAGTCTAATGTCTTGGAACCCCAACCCTCTCTCTTGCTTAGGTACAGTCACTTTATCCCAAGACATCCAATGCAACCCTTTGTTTTGGCTTTCCCCCTTACCCCACCAGAATCTAGCTACCACCATGCAAATCTCCAAACATATGCTCTTACGCAGCACAAAGTAAGACATCACAAAAATTGGTAATGCGTTTAACACTGCTTTAATGAGCACCTCTCTTCCAGCTGTTGAAAGAAAGTTGTTCTTCCAGCTTTCAATTCTCACTTTAACTGCATCAACCACATATTGAAAGGCCACTGCTTTTGATGATCCAATTCCCAGAGGCAGCCCTAAGTACTTTGATGATCTCTTTATTACAACACCTCTGAGGACTGAGCAAATCTATCTCTGATGGGCTTCATTGCAATTTTTACTGATAAACAGGGAAGACTTGTTGAGGTTAACCTTTTGCCCAGCAAAAGCTTGGTATTTCTGAAGTATCTCTATTAGCATAACTGCACGGTGAGCATCAGCTTTGCAAAAGATGAGTGCATCATCTGCAAATAAAAGGTGTGACAACATAGGCCCTTCCTTTGAAACTCTGACACCTTGAAACTGCCCAATATTCACCTTATAATTCAGAAAGGAGGAAAACAGCTCTGACACCAAGATGAATAGGTAGGGTGATAAAGGGTCACCCTGCCTAATCCCTTTTGTTGGAGTCACAAATCCACATACAGTCCCATTCAGTTTAAATGAAAATGTAGAAGAAGAAATGCAACTATATATCCACTTGACAAATAAAGAATGAAACCCCATTTTAGCCATTGTTTACTTGACACAATCCCATTCTATTTTGTCATAAGCTTTCTCCATGTCAAGTTTCACTGCCATAAAACAATTAGGCCCAGATCTATGTCTATGCAAAAAATAGAAGACTTCATATGCAAGCACTACATTATCAAATAATTGTCTTCCCTGGACAAAAGTCAGTTTGAGCATAGCTGACACAATCATTAAGGCATACTTTGAGTCTCTCAGCCAGGATTTTAGAAATGATTTTGTAAAGCACCCCACAAAGGCTATTTGGTCTATAATTACTCAATGATTCAGGATAAAGACATTTGGGTATCAGAGCAATTACAGTGTGGTTCCAGTTCTTTAACAGATGGCCAGTGGGGAAAAAACTCTTAATAGCACAGCACACATCACCTTTAACTATCTGCCAGAAGTGTTGAAAAAAGGAAGCAGACATCCCATCTTCCCCAGGTGACTTGTCAGGCTGCATGCTAAAGATGGCAGCCTTGATTTCTTTCTCATCCACCTGCTTAATTAGTTCATTGTTCATAGCATCAGAGACTGTGCCGTGAATATGATAGAGCAGCTCCTCTCCCCCACTAACACCTTCAAAAGAAAACTAATTAGAATAAAAGTCAGAGATGTGGCTTTGGATGTCCTCCTGTGTATCACAGCAATTCCCATTACTGGTGATTAATTTGTGGATTGAGTTCATCCTCCTTCTCTGAGAAACATAAGCATGAAAAAACCGGGTGTTTCAATCCCCATCCTTGAGCCACAGTGCTCTAGACTTCAATCTCCAGTACATCTCTTCTTCCTTATGTGCACCATCAAGCTCAACCTTTAAATGTCCCCATTCACCCCAATTCACTACTCCTCTTGCTTTCTCATCTCTTCTAATTTGGCTGTTCTCATTTGGATTGTTTTCTCATTATTTCTCCTCAAAGGTTTAGCCCAAGCTATTAAGGCCATTCTGGTGTTCTTCACTTTCTCATGCACCAAGAACATCTGAGATCCTTCCACAGATATATCCCATCCTACAACTACTGCTTCTTGGACACCATCCATTGTAGCCCATCTTGAGTCAAAAGTGAATCTTTTTTTCCTCTTTTCCATCTCCACCTCAGTGTCAAACAGAATCACATTATGGCTAGAGGCACTCCTATAGAAATTTGATACCACCATTTTTGGAAACCTCAGCATCCAATCTAGTGACACAAACACCCTATCCAGCCTTTCTTCTACATATCCCTCTTCATGTCTGTTGTTCCCCCAGGTAAAAAAGGATCTACTTTGATCAAGCTCCTGCATCTCCATCTTCAGGATAAACTCCTTAAACCCCACAAAGTCGGACTCATGTTTCCTCACTCCACCCCTCTTCTCCTCATTATTTGTAATAGCATTCCAATCACCAAAGATAGCCCAGCAATTGCCCCATTTTTCTCTGTTGTCTTCTAAGAATGCCCACTGGTCCATTCTTTGTATCCTGTCACAGCTCAAATAAATAAAAAACAGCCAGTACCACTCCCCCCTCTCTTTCCTCCTTGACCTCCAATTGGATACAAAAGTCATTACCAACCAAGCTCCTGATTTCCATAGTGCTATCCAACATAACCAGCAGCCCACCTCTAGTACCAACAGGCTGTTCCAGATACCACCTATTTTCAAAACCAAGCTTTCAACAAACAATTCTAGTAAAATCCAATTTTTTTTTTTTTTTTTTTTTTTTTGTTTCTGATAAAAAGAAAATGTTTGGGTGATGGAGTCTTCTGACATCCTTGATTGGGGAAACTGTAGAGAGCCCACCCAGCCCTCTACAGTTCCACACCATGGCCTTCATTGGTCACTTTGGGGCCACTTCAGGCTGGCCTGCTCCACCTTATCAGTCTCAGATTGTATCCTCCTTCTTTTATCCACCAATTCTTCTTTAATGAACTCATCCCGTTCTTCATACACCACAATCTCTCTGCTCCTCTTAGAAAAGGAAGTACACCTTGGTGCAGCCTCTACGTCTGTCATTCTCTGTAGTCTGCCATCAACTGTAGCCCTCATTTTCCATGTTGTTGTAGTTAATCTCTTGACCTCTACATTTGGGGGCTGAGGAAGGCCACTAGTTGAAGACTCCTCCATATTCTTTCCCCCTTCCACAATGTCCATTGGATGCTCCACTATCATCACAGTTGTTTCATGATCAATTGGCTCTGTTGGGATCTCACAACTACAGAGGCTTAGCTGGATTATCTCTCCTGACATCCCCTTTCCATTCCCCTTAATCTCACTTTGTGCTTTCTTTCCTCCTTCTGCCTTCAATCCTTGTTCTGGGAATACTGGTGATGGTGTATCACTAGCAGATACTACATGTTCTTGATTGGAATTCAACAGAGGTTCCTTCATCTTTACCCCTGAACTACTAGCATAGCTGCTCCTCCCTTCTGGGAATGTCTCTGTTGCCTTTAACCACTCCCCAAATTGTCCTTCTATCACTTGTGCCGCAACATCTTCCAATCTTCTGCCGCAATATCTATCGAGGTGTCCCAATTTACCCCAATAATAACACAAGTTCACCAGCCTCTCATATCTGAATGCTACTCTCACTCGTTGATCTCCCAATTTGACCGTGGTGCAGCGGGGAATTGGTTCTTTCATGTTCACCTCTGCCAATATTTTAATAAAACTAACCACTTTCCCTCCTGTTTTGCAAACCGTCACATTCTTAACCCCTTTGAATATATGTCCTATTTTAATGCCAACATCAGTGATCATCCAATTAATGGGAACATTCAGAATTTGGACCCATAATTTAACCTCATCAAAAGCACAATGATTACCAATCAGGCCTGGGAACCACTCTTTTAGCACCAGATACTGATTTTCATAAATCCAACAATGTCCCGCAGCCACTTTCTTCATATCTTCAATAGAGCTAAAAATAAATTGAAAGAAATTAGAACTTATCTCTTTGACTTCCATTGGCTGCTTGATTCACTATATAATTGCCATGGCTCGTTTTATCCCCAGCAGACTGGCTACCCTATCTCCGACAATTTTCCCAAACAGGTTGCATCCGCATTCCTCTTCACTAACTTTGACATCATTCGGTTGTATCTCTATTTCCCCTACTTCCTTCGCCGAGAGAGAGAAATCAAACAATTTCCGCACCACTACGTCATTTAGGTCACCGTCTGTCTCATCCCCCATTGCTCGCCAATTAGGTTACCGTGCACATTGTACTTGAACCACAATACACAGACACTACTACCACTTCCTCCTACCACTGCTCGATCCCAGCTCATACAGCGAAAGTCTACCGATAAAGATCGAAATTTACATTAATTATATAATAAAAAATAATTATTATTATATTTAAATTAATTATATAAAATACACATTTTGTTGCATATTATCGCTGCATATTTAGTTCATGCAATTTTCTCATTTAGTTCATGCGTAGTGCATGCTTAGTTCATAAACAGTGCACACTTAGTTGATATTATTGGTGCATATTTAGTTCATAGAGATTATATATTCAATTCATACTAAATGCATACTTAGCTCATATGAAGTGCATACTGCTGAATGCATATTTACTTCATACATAATGCATACTATGGTAAACGGTCAACGCCGAAAGTCAACGGGTCACATCGAATGTCAATGGTTATCATCATCTCAACGTCGTAATCAACTATCATCGGTCTATGATCAAATGGTATAAATAAATTTAAATAATTAAGATAAAAAAACTAAATCTTAGCTACACATCTCGATTCCTAATTAGTGGCTTTGATTGAGTCTCACATACTCGTTGTAAGTATGTGGACTCATTGGAACTAATCCCTATATATATAGGAGAGATTCAATGATTCATCTTCTTAAAATGGGTATGTGAGACCAATCTTAGCTGTTGATTTGTATAGATCAATGACTCATATAATCAATTATACTTTACATTAATTATATAATAATAAATAATAATTATTATTATTATATTTAAACTTGTTATATAATAAATAAATTCATTTTACTGTCATTGGCCGGTAGTTGACCGTCATTGACCAACATTGACCGTAAAGTTACCTACCCCTCAACCGTCGTTCCCCACTCCTAGCTCACCAACAATCACTACCATCGCTGCTCGGTCGGTCGCTGAAACTCCGAACACCTCCGCCGCCTTAGCAGTTGCATCAGGATAGGAATTTCACTTTCGTCGGCTAAAGCCATTCAAATGTCACTAATGGTGGAGATGTTTCTATTGTGTGTAATTGGGACAAGAGTAAGAGCGATTTCCCCAATTCAATTAGGGGTTATACGCCGCCGTTGGTGAAAATATCCCAGGCACTGTCGGGGTCGGAGGTTATGGACTCGACGATCTTGGAAGCTTTTTCCTTAATCATCCTCGAGCTCGACTCGATTAATCGGAGCAGGAGACTAAGGCCGCCCTTCTTGAACACGCACCTCCGAGTCAAATCACCAGCGGAGAGAAGCAACGAGAGAGCTCTTCTTTGAAAATTAGACAGATTTTAGGTTTCAGTTGCAGTTTCAACAAACTTATGAGTTATTGCAATTTGATCCCTAGGGTCAATCTATAATTTATCTAAGTTTGAATTGCTGCACTCTGGCCATTGGGTTTTTTATTATTTAAATAGTTCATATTTAGTTTATTTCTTGTGCATATTTAGGTAATAAGAAATGCGTATTTAGTTTCATACAAAATGTATAATTAGTTGATAACATAAAAACAGTAAAAGGCTCCAGTATATTGTTGTCAATTGCATATTTTGACTGATCATTTAGTTCATAAAAAATAACATTTAGTTCATACGAAGTGCATATTTAGTTCATGAAAAATGCATAGTTATTTGATAATAGTGTTACATATTTAGTTCATATAAACTGCAAATTTCGAGTACAAATTACTTCATACACAATGCACATTTGGCTCATAAAAAAATGCATATTTAACATACTTAATTAATTTACACGAAATGCACATTTAGTTCATACAAAGTGCATATTTAGTTCATGAGCAATGCATACTTAGTTGATATTATTATTGCACATTAAGTTCATTAAGAATACATATTTAGTTGTTGGTTCGTGGATTGGGTCACTCTCTTTTCTTTGTTGGTGTGGATGCTAGTTCGTGTGAAGGTGGTTCGGGGTTGCGTCTGAATGTTGGGGAAGGTGTTAGTCTAATTTTTAGGACTTTTCTTGTGTTCTTGTGTTTCTCTATGTTTTTTGCGTTTTACTCTCCTGTTGGACCCTGATTCTCCACTTGTAGAAGCTTTTATTTTGTTTTGTTAAAAGCATTCTCGTCGTGTAGGCCTCTCTGTAGTTAGAGTTTTTAGTTGGATTCTGTCGGCTAGTTAGTCATTTGTAATTATGTGTTTATTTAATAAATATATCGTTCCGAAAAAAAAATACATATTCAATTCATACTAAGTGTATATTTAGTTCATATCAACTGCATATTTTTATTGCAAAATTTACTTCATACAAAATGCATATATGGTTCATAGAAAATGCATATTTAGCATACATATTTAGTTCAAACTTATCAATATATTTTTTTATTATATATTTAATTTCATATAATATTATTTTTTTTTATTATATAATTACTATAATACATAATGCATATTTAATTCATTCACGTGCTTATTTAGTTAATAAAAAATGCATATTTAGTTTATCACAGTGTATATTTAGTTAATGTGAGGTCCAATTGTTGTCATTTATTTGTATAGATCAATGGCTCATATTAATCAATTGAAATTTTGATTAGTTACGTAATAAAAAGTAATAACTACTATATTTAAACTAATTTTATAAAATACACATTTAATTGCATATGTTGACTGCACATTTAGTTCATACGTAGTGCATATGGAGTCCATAAACAATACATACTTAGTTGGTATTATTTGTTCACATTTACTCCATACATAATGCATACTAGGATCATCGGTCAATGTCGAAAGTCAAATGCTAGAGTCAGCAGTCAACAGTCAAATGAATATTTAAATAAATAAAATAAAACAAATAAAACATTAAATCTTGGACGCACGTCTTGTTCTCTATTTAATGGCTAGGGTTGGATCACACATACTCACGTTAAATAATGAGACTCATTTGATTCAATCCCTATATATATACATACATTAATTTTTTGCAAATAAATAAGTGTCCATCAGCCCGGGAAAATTTTAAAACTAGTCCCACATGTATAGGGGGTGACAATTTTGGTCCCGACGGAATGCAGAAAATATGAATAGTCCCACAGCTTTTAAAAAATGATCAAAAGTAGGACTTTTTCGCCTGATTTACTATTTCTGGCCCGGAACGCCACGTGGCATCTGACGTGTTCATATTTTTCTACAAGTTGTGGGACTAGTTTTGAATTTTTTCCCAGATAGGAAAAAATTCAAAACTAAGCCACGTGTGCGCCAGCGTGTAAAAAATAAGCCACGTGTGCGCCACGTGGAGTTCCGGGCTGGAAATAGTAAATCCGGCGAAAAAGTCCTACTTTTGATCATTTTTTAAAAGTTGTGGGACTATTCATATTTTGTGCATTCTGTCGGGACCAAAATTGTCACCCCCCTATATATGTGGGACTAATTTTGAATTTTTCCCCCATCAGCCCATAGTAAAACCCAGATTAGTGATTGACCCGGGCTAGATTTGGGGTCACCTAGTCAATTGTTGAAACTGGGTATTTAATTTTATAAAATTTTGAAATAATATTAAAAATAAAATTATGTATATAAATATTAAGATCGGGTCAAACCGAGTTGACCCGACCAGATCGACTAGGTCCCTGCAACCCGGTCCAAACAACCCATCCAGAACGGTCTCGATCCCGAGTCAACCAGGTCTTGGGCCATCCCGTTGGGCTGGTCTAAATTTCGAAATACTGCATCAGTCATACATAATCTCGTGATATTTCAACACATACAGGGTATGCTATGTTAAATTGTTAATTAATTTGTGGGCATATCAAAATCGTGTCCTCGTGGGCAGGAGAGCCGACTTATATTAAATTATTAATTAATCTCTATATAACTATAGAGATGAGATCATATGAGAATGGTGAAAGAAATAAGAATAAATCTATACCATTGAATCTATCAAATCTATAGTCATGATCAAGTCAAATTATATTAATGACAGTCAAATATGTGATGGCATTTTTGTAATTAAATGTCATATTATGGTCAAATATTTACATTTAACCACTAAGTAAGGATAAAACGAATATTACACAAAATGACAACCATCATCAGCGGGCCCTATTCAAACCCACCCAACATTCATTCTCTCTCACACACTATCTCTCACACAAAACACACACTATAGCCCGCACACACTCCAAACACAATATGTATTAGAGCACCCACAATGCTTTGGGTCCATTCAGAAAAATATATACATGCCACGTAGGAAATATATTCAGTCTAGAAAAATAAACTCTCCAATGCAAGTGCAAGTAGACTGGGTCGTGTTGATATGTCAGCAGAAAAAGAGACTCAGTCTGCCTTAAGTCAATTTTAGACCCAAGTAGGGACCTAGTCTCTTTGCATTAGAGTCAAATTTGTTACTTTTATATATTTACATGCCATGTAGGCAAAATTAGACCAAAAGCATTGCAGATGCTCTTATAAATCTCTGATTTCCTAATTATGTATTACAAAATTTGTTTTGCAATTGGTATTTTTTACTATTTTTATTTTGTACAGTAAACTAGACAAAAAATTAATATTGTTAATTGGGACGAGATAAGCAAATAAAACATAAATATAAGAGAAATTAACGTATTTTTTAAAATATATAGGAAAAACTCACAAATTTTGCACATAAATATGAAAATTTCCAAAAAAAAAAATTAAGACTATAAGGGGAAAACATGCAAATTTTGCAAAATACAGGGTGCAGTATATTTTACATACACCACCACACAACTGTAAAGAAGAGATCATTTGAGGTACTTTTACACAAACATGAGGATGCTTGGATATAAATCTATATATAACTAGTACGAATCTCGTGCGATGCACGAGCAAGAGATATCCGTTAATATTTATAAATTAAAAATACGCATTAAATAATATTCATAAATTAAAAATATGGAATCAATATGTAATACTCATTAAAATCTCTGCCAACGTGTTGTAAATTAGAACCCATCAAACACAATTAGGAAATAAGAAACAAATTGGATTAATCATAACTTAAAATTATAACATGATAAGCACAATGAATTGAATAACAAATCTCAATTCTAATAATGTACACATCCAACATTATAATTATTTTTTTGTAAAGATTTCGAATTAACAATAATATATGCCTATTCACAACATAGATCTTTTCGTACAATTAAACACAATATATTAACATAAATTGTGAAAACAAAATTAAATCATTTTTTGAAATATAGATCCCAACATATTTTTTATTCTTAGAATCCAAATCGTGAAAATATATTTGTTGCCATTTTGATGTATCAAATATAAGTATTGGATTGATTAATAAACGTTTACTTTATTTTTTAAAAAATGTTAAGTGTAAATTTATTAATTTAATTAGCAATGTTATGTAAGTATTGTACTTGGACTATTGCAATATTACAAGAAAGCAAAAATTTTTGGCCAGAGCGTTTGCTCCCTAAAAAATAGAACAGATGCCCTATTTCGATCATCTTGCTCGCATGATACGTTTCTGTCACCCAACTTGTTTTTTTAACTATTATTAATTTTAATTTTCTTGTTAATGTGTAGTTTAGCTAACGCACTTTCACAATTATCGAATGATTTGTTTGATATAGGAATATTTGGTAGTAAATATATCATAAATATTTCATTATCCGCGGAACTTTTAGTTTTGTATCACGACATTATAAATATGAAATTAAATAATTTGAAATACGCAAATCGACAATAAAAATTCGGATACAAATTAAAATTTTAATACTTCAAAGAGTCCACAAAAATGGTATTCTTTCAAAATGATATATTCTTTATATGTTCAGAAAGGTGGAATAATTGGATATCAATTTATNATAGAAAATGGCGGGGTTCTCCATTACAGCACCACAAAGCTGCAGACAGTGAGGGAAAAAAAAAAAAAAGGAATTTGATTTGCAATGAGCAGTTCAAGAGGAAGCTCGAGCTGGAACTCCGAGATTAATGGTGCTCCAATGGAGATGACCTGCAGGTGTGGAGATAAAGTATACTTGAAGACCTCCTGGACCCAAAATAATCCGGGAAGAAGATATTGGGCATGCTCTAAATATGGAGTAATTAATTATTTTGTGATGCAATTGTGTTTTTATTTTTATAGCATAAATTGTTTTCGAATGTGTTTATAAATATGCTCTAAGAGTGAAATTTTCGCATGCCCTGAAATTTTCGAATGTGTTTATAGCATAAATTGTTTTCGAATGTGTTTATGGAAACGTGGTTTTGATAGGGAAAAACGTTACTTTGTCGTTCGAGGATATTGAAGCTAATTTTGGTGAGTTTAGAAATCTCTTCTTATATGTTGTGTGCGGACCAGTTGTTATTTATGTTTGTGAATCTTGAATCTGGGCGCTGAAAGGTTGGTTTTTGTTTGATTAAACTGATGTTGTTTTATATGATTGAATTGATCTGATTAGTGTGATCCCTGTACTGGTGAATCCATTCATTATTTGCTTGATTTAAGTTCTTGCTGTGATTTAGTTTGTTGAATTGTTAAATTTCTGCAATATTGAATATGCCCTGAATATGCCTAAATCCCATTTTTGCAGCAAAAGTTTGGTTTTTGCGGTCTTTTTATATGGTATGATCCGGAAATTTGCGCAAGAGCAAAGAATATTATACCCGGTTTGCTGGAAAAATCAAATAAACATCAATATCAAATTGAGCAATACAAGTTGAGGAATGCTGAAATGGAAGCTCAACTCTTGGTAGCAATGAAAAAAGTGGATGACATGAACAATGCATTGGTTGAAATTGAGCAATACAAGTTGAAAAATTTTGAATTGGAAGCTCAGCTGTTGGTGGCAATGAACAATGTGGATGACATGAACAATGCATTGGTTGTGTGCAAGAATAAGATCAAAAAATTATAGGCTGCTACCATTCTTCTCTCATTGTTATTCCTTGTCAAATTATGTTCTAACTAGATTTAGATAGTTATGGTTGGTGTAATTTGAAGTATTGTTATTATGTAATGCTTTATTTATGCAATTCCTGTACCATTTTCAATATGAATATTGTTATGCAATTCATGTACCATTTTCAGCATTTGGTTTTTAATGAGTATTGTTATGTATTTGCAATATGAAGAAGACTCCTAAACCACAACAAAACTTGAACAAAAACTTAACAAAGGTTCACTTTGTTACCAAACACTGAACAAAACCTGAACAAAGAGTCATTGCAAAGGTTCTAACCAAAACTTCACATCCATTAAGGATAGACAAATGATATCAAAAACTGAACAAACCTAAAACACATCCAAACCAAAGCTTCACACCAAAAAAACATCACTACAGAACAAAGGTTCTATTCCAGTGCACACTACAACAATCAATCATGTCCATAAAACAACACACAAAAGTCTGTCAAGACAATTATCAAAACATCACAAACATGTCCATAAAACATCACACAAGATAATGTATTTCTGTCCATAACACTCACACACAATAAATCAATACAAATGAATACATTCTCCATCTTCAGCATATCCTCAAATGGATTTTTGTCCCTCATTTTGCTTTGGAGTCCCCTGAGCAGCAGCAACAGCTCTTAAATTTGAAAGGGTAATGTAGTTGACACCTCCCTTCACAATGATTGGTTCAGTTCCAGAAGATGATTGCATCATCTAAAAGTAGAAAATTTGATTTATCAAGCTTATATTAAATNTATACATATATATATGAGAAAAAACAACATGCACAAAAGATTAAAAAAAAAAAAATTACATTAATTGAAGACACTCTGTTTGTGCCTCCACTTAAGTTTACACCACCAACTGTGGCAGACTCTCTCCTCCTCCTATCCTATTTTGTGCAAAACAATTACAAATGACAGTGTCATTCCAACATAATAAAAGTTACATGTAATTGAAGAGTGAGATTGAATAATAAAAGTTACAACTAATCAAATCAAATAGTACTTTCATCAAATTATACTTACAGGTAGCTTTGATCTTTTCTGAGACTGAGAGTGATGCTTAGACTGAGCTTGAGACTGAGATTAAGACTGAGCTTGAGACTGAGATTAAGACTGAGACTTAGATTGTGACTGAGAATGAGTGCCACTCATGCTTCTTGCCACTGGAGTTCTACTTTCAGACTGTTGATTCTTGCAAGTTCTAGAGTTGTGGCCTTGTTTACCACACTTTCCAAATTTCACTGAATTTTGAAGTTTTTTAAGCCTAGTTTCAGAGGATGGAGTAGGAGACTCATTAGGTTGTCTCCTCCTCAATTTTTTGGGCCTACCAGGCCTATTTTCATATATTGGTGGCAAAGGAGCTGGTAAATCACATGTAGGCCACAATTCAGAACATGAAATTCCCATGATGGCATTTTCATATGCATTTATGTGTTTTGACTATACAAGTCATCAACATAGCACTCAGGATCTTCATGTCTGCACCAAATAGCAGCACATGCATGCTTACAAGGGATTCCTGTCAAATCCCATTTTCTACAGCTGCAACTCAGTCCAGCAACATCAACAGTGTGTTGATCATAAGGGCCTATGATTTCAAAGTGCCGATCATCACTTTTCATTGGAATACACTCTGCACCATCTTTCATGTTGTTTTGAAGTATTTTTTTTATTCTAGGGCAGATCTTCCCAGACCAATTTTTAGCTGCATCTCTATTCACTTGCAGTCTTGCCATCAATAAGTGCCTTATTGTCTCAAGCATCACAATGACTGGCTTGTCCCTTGCATTCAGGATGAAAGAATTGAAACACTCACACATATTGTTCAGTGAAATGTCACACTCCAGTGAAGTTCTGAAGTGAGACCGAGACCATTGACTAGGAGGTTTTTTTACCAGCCAGTCATAAGCATTTGGACCCAATCCTTTCAATTCATTCACCTTTGCACTAAAAACTTCCACCCTAGTTGTTCTAGCTGCAGCCCACAAAAGATTTTTTATAGACTGACCAACAAAGCCATCTCTTTTCATGTTACTGTGTAAATGTCTAACACAAAACCTGTTTTCACAATTAAGGAACAACTCTTCAAAGGCAGGGATGAGCCCTTTCTGTTTATCACTCATGAAAGTCTATTCAAGTTCATTATCAATCTCTAAATCATTCTCTAACAACCTCAAAAACCACAACCAAGAATCTTTATTCTCATTTTCAACTATTGCATAAGCAACAAGAAAAATCTGGTTATTTGGGTCAACGCCCACAGCTGTTATGTGTTGACCACCCTGGGGGCCTTTCAAGAAGCACCCATCAACCCCAATGATTTTTCTGCAGTGCTTAAAACCTATCTTGCATGCATCAAAACAAATATACAATCTTTTGAACACATGTTGTCTAGATTGCTCTTCACAATTGCTCAGTTTTAGAACAACAGTTGAACCATGATTGGGCCTTAACAACTCTAAACAATAGTTTCTAATTGAACTGAATTGTTTTTTAAATGTTCCATCCAGAAGCATCATTGCTTTCTTCTTGGCCCTGTAGGATTGTTGCCTAGTAATATTGGACTACAACTTGGTACACAACATACTCCTAAACTCATTGACTCCTAACTTAGGGTACTTCTTAAATTTTTTCATGAAATTCTTCCCTATCCACCCCCACCCAGATTTGATGCTAGGATTATTATAGTTCCAAGAACAACCTTTGTGGTTTTTCTCATAACACTTCACCTGCCAAGATGAGTCATTTTGCATTGGTGAAACAAAAATATACCACCCACACCCCTCTGTGGTACACCTAGCTCTAAATCTTCTTTTGTCATTCCTATCAAAACGAACCACCATCCCTCTTCTATAGCAGAAACCCTGAATAACATCCTTAGCCTCTGATTTTGTACTAAAAATCATCCCTAACTTCAACTCAGGGTTTTTGTCAGTTTAAGGATTATATTTAAGGAATTTCACAACATTATCCTCCTCATCAGACCCTCTAACACTTTCAAATGAATCACTATCCCCTAACTCAAGATCATGCTCTTCCTCAAATATACCCTCAGAAAAAAAACTCATTTTCAATTGATTTACCATTATTTTTTTCATTCACCCCAACAAATTCTGCATCTTTGTCAACATTTCTGTCAAACAAATTATCATCCTCATCCATGTCATAGTCACTATCATTGAACTCCTCACATTCTGAATCACTATCATCAACAGAAGCACACTCTTCATTTTGTTCATGTTGTTCAAATTGTACAGATTGTTCATGATGTTCATGTTGTTCAGATTGTACAGATTGTTCATGATGTTCAGGTTGTTCAGGTTGTTCAACATTAGAGTTCAGACTACCAAGAAATGAGAGGTCAATGACAAGATCACTTTCAACCTCAAGATTAGAGTAGTTGTTATCAACATGATGTACATGTTCTAAAACAATTCTCGCTATTCTGTTTTCAGGAATGAGGTTCATGACCTTATATGCCAATTGATCACTATCAATAATATGACTACCATCTTGTAAACTAATTCCATGCACATGCCAGGCATTCACATGATCACTGTTATAACCTAGTTGCTCTATAAAATCCTTTAACTCAATCAACCCAAACATCTCCCCATCCACCCCATCAAAATAATCCAAATACCCACCTCGGTATTCTTTCATAGGAATATGCATCATTAAACCACCGTGCAGAAACTCAATTGTGAAGACAGTTGATTCCAACAAAAAGTCTACAACACAGGAAAAAAAAAAAGAAAAATCAAATAAACAGAACTGAAAAATAGTATGCATAAACAAATAAACAGAACTGAAAAACCCCTAATTTGTTCAGCTCATAATCAAAAAACCCCTAATTTGTTCAGCTGAAAAAAAACCCTAATATTTAGGGCAACTCCCACAATAATCAGATAATATGGAACTTTTCAAAATTAACCATATAATTTCCATTAATTCAAAAAATTAGTGCCAAACTGAAGTGAAAAAACTTACCGTATTCAAGTTGCAACCCATGTATAATCCTTCTCGCCATGGAGTCAGATGGGCCGTTGCAGTTCTAAATATGCTCGTTGCAAATAAGAATATGCTCGTCGCAAATCTGAAATGGAAGCTCACAATACACCAAAACACCAGTCAATTGCCCACTTAAATGCGATAAATGAAAGAAATTTTTCTACAGGTAAAATGTTAGGTTTTTTTTCACAGCAATTAGGTCTGCTCGATTGGGAAAATTAGGGGAAACCAATTATTTAGGTTTCTTTAGGGAAAACAACCGGTTAGAGAAGGTGATGGTCAGTTGACTCACGGTCAACTGACGATTCGGGCAATAATGATGGATTTTGAATACTTTAGTGACTGAAAGTGATTAAGTATAAATCATGGATATCAAAAGTGAAAAGTAGGTATACCTGGGGTACCAAAAGTGAAATTTTCCCTAATAGAATCCATATGTGACCAAAATATATGTTAGCCGCAATGAAATATATTCTAAGAGAAACATTCTATAAAATACATGCTAGCCGTAATATTTGACTGTACAAATATGAAATTGACTTTTTTAATTTGAATATAGAAAATTGACGGCCACTTTTCAATTTTTTTTTAAAAAATTACTAATAAAGGTAAAAATAAATTTTTTGGCAGAATTTCAGTTGCTTTTTCAGGTAAATACCAAACTTTATATATATATGTAGATAAGAATAATCATTTATTAAAAATAGTACTAAAAAATTTTAGGAGCATTTAATGTATACCTTTTTTTGAAAACTTTTTAAATATATGCATTAATTGCTTCCATATACATGTTTTCAGATACGATCAAATCAGATATGATAAAACAAACTTCATACTTCCCCGCTCCTTTGGCTTTCTCACTCACTCTTTATAACTCAGCAGATGATTAGAAGAACTATTGGTTGTCCCAATAGCAAGCAGACGGTCCACTACTGGCAGGGACGGATCCTAATGAGGTCTGGGCTGGGCTGAAGCCCAGGCCTTTTATTTATTTTTTTAACCAACTACTAGTTTAAATTTTTTTTATTGTCTTTCTAGCTCAGTCCAATAAACCAACTCACTGATCCATTAAAATAATTCAGTTATCTATTCAAGTCCAAAGACCACAAACACCACTTTAATAAAATATTATATATTGTTGATTCATATATCGCACTAGTCACTAACCCACAAAAAACACTACTATATACCAAACTTCAATCAAATAAATCAATTGGGGTCATGCCCCTCCTAGCACCAAAAAATTGAATTTAAAAGAACAATAAATAAATAAATAAATTATTCAACAAGTATACTACTGATCTAATTTCTTTTTTAATAGTAAGTTATATATTTTAAACGACATATTAGATATTTGTTTCATTTGTCAAATTGTCTTTATTTATCTTTCCATTTTAGTTGAACTGTTTAGGATTTTCTAACAGCAATTGCTAGGATCATTTTATTGCAATTCTTGTTTTGTTGATTGTTTATGAAGTAGTACGTGTGTGTGTGTGTGGGTGTGTATTTTTTTCTTTATCTCTTATCATCTAGTGTAGTTGTTGTATATCATATTCGGATATAATTTTTATGATGCATTATGAAAAATCAATTTATTGGTATTGTTGAATTTTTAAAAATTCACACGGAGCACCAACCATCAGCCAAGAAAGGAAAACTTCATTGATATCATCGTTCTTTAGAAAACGTGATCGTCAAACTAGTGAAAGCACATCAAATACGGTGCAAAATGAGTATAATGAATTTTATTCTGTAAAAGCTTGTCGAGCACAACTTCAGTGAATATTTGAAGAAAAAAATATTATGTAATTTTTATGAAAATAAGTTTTTAACATTATAGCCCAGTCTACTCTTAATTTCTGGATCCGTCCCTGACTACTGGCTTCTGCGTATTTCTAGGAAAAACCCTACTGACTTGGGTTTCCAAAAGGCAACCTGTTATTTTCTTAAATAATTTTATTAATGTATGTAATAATTTCATTGATATCCATTATAATAAATTACAAGATTAATTTTTTTGTGATTCATGTTGATAATATTATGATCAAGATAAATATTACAACATATTTTAAGTTATAATCATAATATTAATTTTTTTTCATAAATATTCACTTCTTATCCAAAAATATTTATAGAAAATCGTAACAAGTTAGATAGAATTTTTTGCTTCCAATTAATCAGGCGAAATCAAGTTGGTGAATTAATCTTTGTCAATATAATTTTTTCTTAATCTTTATTTCATTATATATAAAAAATAAATTATTCTTCAAATTAATATAATTTACCATTTAAGTGATAATGACCAGATACATTAAATAGTTTTACTAATGGTCAAAAATTAAAATTGAAATATATTAACTTTTCTTTAGAATTTATTTGTATATTATTGGCAACCATGATTATTTTTGTTATTTTTTTTATAATGAAATTCTTGTAAAATATATTTTCATTGCAGAGTATGCTAAATAAACTATAAATCCTTGTAATGCGAATTAGATAAATCTTGATTATATAAGGGATTGAGCTTTTGGTATTTGCTAAATCAATGTTGTTTAATTAATATACAAAATTAAATTCTAAAAAAGCATGTGTGTACATTTTGTAACATATTTATACACTATTTAATTTTAAATTTATTTACATATTTTAAATTGATTACATAAATAAATAATACTAATGTGCATTAAATATTTTTCATTACATAAAATAAAAAGAAAAAGAAGAAGTACAACTTCTAAAACTTTTATAAATAATAATGACATTATATGACAACAAAATTTATAATAAAATAATAGTTAAGTATTATATGGTGAACAAGAATAAGTAAAACGGTTGTTTTCTTTTATATCAATATACATATATATATATATACTAAAATCAAATTTATATTAGTATAAGAAAAATGATACATGACTAACCTAATGTACAACTATGTTGGCAACACAAGTGAAAACATCCACTTGTGTATTTTTTATTGTTATTTTTGTATATGTTTTTACTTGTGTTGTCAACCTAGTTGTATACTAGGTTGGGAATGTAGCATTTCTCTTAGTATAATTATGTTAGTAAGATAATATATTAATTATTTTACATGTTAGCCCTAACATGCTCATATTTAATGTTCTAGCTAAAGAAACAACGCAAAAATGGTGGAAAATAGATTATAACTCTATTGTTTTTTTAGACTTAATGTTGATTAAAAAATGTGAAAAATAGATGATAATCCTATTACTTTTTAAACTTAAACGGACAGACTCATTTAATATCTCTGTCTCGTGCATCGCACGGGGTACGTACTTGTCTTTTAAAAAAAAATCCAAACATTTTTAACTCAACAACTTTTTTTTAATTCAACTTTAACTCAACTACACTATTATCAGTATAATTAGATAATATCAACCTTACACATCGTATCAAATTTAATTCACTATTCATTTACTCTCATAATTTTAATTAACCATCACTTTAAATCACTCGTACTTTTACATCAAATCAACTCTAATTATTTTACTTTAAATATTATTTTAATATACCCACTACCAACTAACCATACCATATTTTTTCAAAATTAACTAAAACAAACCCAAAAATCCAAACAAATCCAAATTTTTTTATATCCAACCATTCTAATTAAATACACCCCTAATTTCTCTCATTCATCCTCTTCTTATTCTTTTCTCTATTTCTGATTTTCTTATATCTCAATCCACGATTTTCATACATAGTTCGAAATCTGATACTACCCAAGACGTAAGGAATTATCAACACACAACAAATCAATGATAAAATCGTCTACAAAGAGCATTCTTGTATGTCAATCCCAAATACATGTTTATGGCTATACACAACAGCTGATTCTTTT